ATTGTTTTGTGATTGGATCTCATAATTATTTCCTGGGTTTCAGTCTAAGAGTAATTTTGGTTACTTTTCATGCCTCTGAATTATGTCAAGTGGTTTAAACTTTGTTGTTTGCAGTTAGGTTCCTAAATCTACTGTTAAGGACTGAAATAGAAGTGGGGTGAGTACGTGCTGTTCCAATTGTCTTAAAAAACTTCCTGATTTTTCGGAAGTGTGTTTTAGACTCCTAACAATGGGTTTAGGACCCTAATTTAGCTATCCAAGTTGGAACATTTTGGCCTGAGATAATAGCATAAGAAGAAAGTCAAGCAACTCCCACACTGACATACTTTCTGTCATTAATTGTGTAGTCTATTTGTATGTTGATTTATCTTTTTCTCCTCTCAAGAATGATTCTATTTTAAAGTAGAAATCCTTTGATGTTGCTAACATTCTAGTTAAGATCACTTTGCCATTCATACCCCCTGTTCTGTAAGAGATCCTATACTCTTGGAAGTGCTGCCTTTCTGATGAGATTTAAAAAAATTAATTAGTGTGGTCTATGTCCTGGCTAACTCTTAAAGTGACTAATTACATTCTGCCCACCTATGTTTCTTTTTCCAGTTTCAGTTGGACAGGCCAACACTCACCAAAAAAAAGAATGCCCCATGGATCCACCTTCTGTTCCAAACTTCATCTCCTACCGCTTAATTGTTGATTAATGGAAGGAGCTTTGTAAACTTCAGGTTTTGAGCCTCTGAGATACTGTATTGTTTTACTACCTGTGCTGAACTCTTGTGTGGTGGTGGATGTTAGTAAACAGCTGCTGTGTTTCACTTAATTAGTGAAACCTGATAGTGTTTCTGTTTCAAGCTACATTTGTAAAGCACTTTGGGATCTGTCAGGGTGAAAAGTTCAGAGGAATTATACGAATCCAGTATATTGTTTCTTACTAGGAGAGCTTTTGTTATAGACCAGTTTAAAGGAAAGAGAAATGATTGTCCTGATCCCAGTGAAACTTAATGCATTAAATCAGTGACTCTCAAACTGTGTGTTGGGATCTCAAAATGGGGCACAACTTCATTTAAATGGAGCTGCACAGCTACGGTCTGGGGCTGAAGCTTAAGTCCTGAGTTGAAGGACTTAGGTTACAGGCCCTGTCACTTGGGGCTCAAGTCCTCAGGCTTTGTCCCTGCCCCTTCCTTCCCTTGGTGGTGGAGCTCGGACAGGTTCAGGCTTCGATTCCCTCTGTAGTAATCTTTTGTTGTCAGGCGGAGGTCGTGGTGCAGTGGAGTTTGAGAAACCCAGCATTAAATAACAGTTTGATTAAAAGAGCCAGTGAAACATATTGATTGCATTTCTAAGCAGTATTATTTTCTAATGCATTATATTGAGCAGTACTGTATATACCCTGTTAAAGGAACACATCTTTCATGTAGTAGAATACATATGCTTGTTTTTCTGAAGGGTGAAAGTGGTGAGACAATAATTTAAAGAAGGGAACTGTTAGCCAGGACTCAGTATCCCTATTTTCCACTCTGCCATGCTCTTTGGCAAGCCACTTTGGCTACTTATTTTGGATGCTTTAGTTTGACATGGTGGTGTTATATTTTTTTAGAACTGCTGAACACCTATTTGACTTTAGTTGGAGTTGTGATTGCTCAGCACTTTTGAAAATCTGGCTTCTGTAGTACTCATAAGTTATGTAGCCATATATAGGCATACAAAATCTGTGAATACTGTTGAAAATTTGGCCATTAACCTCATTATATCTTTTACTGTCAGTAAAACAGTATCCTCACCCTGGTGGGTGTAGAAGCGTATCTGATACAGGTTGACCCACTCTAGCCCCAGCATCCTCGGGATTGACCAGTGCCAAACCAGCAAATTTGTCAAACCACAAGAGATCAATATAGTCTAGCAGCCTTACTGGGCTCTTTGGAGACATGTAGGGGTAAATTAGAGCTGAACAATAGCACAGAACACTGAGAATGGGGACTGTGGCTGTAAATAAACTTTATGGGACCATGAGAAACTTGGCCACACCGTAAGTGGACAACTAAAATCATGTTGGACCATTCATGTTGCTGGACCAGAGAGTGCCGCACTAGAGAGAGTCAACCTGTAGTTTGTAAAGAGTTCTGATGGCTTTTTTAATTAAAGATGCTATGTAAGTGAAAACTATTATTATAATTGTTGTTTGTATATTTCAGCAGTAGTTCATCGTTAGCAACATCAATGTGTTATAAGACAAAAATAAAAATTAATATGTTGAAAAAGGGCAAAATGATAGTATTAAATTTTGCTATGGAGCAGTTAGTTCACTGTTTTCATTGATAGGATGAAAATACATTCTTCCCTTTCTTACCTGAAGGCAGAATTTGTCCCAAAGTAATAATCTTGTCATGGCTTGTATAGTCCCTTCTATTTGATATTTGACTGTTCTATAAACTGTATTGATTGCAAGGTCCTTCCAGTTCACCCCAAATCAATATTATTTATAACGCTTCTTTTTTTTCTTGTCAGTAATTTTATAGAGAATAAATCTGCCTGTAGTATTTTTATTCTCTCAAAAGTGGTTCCTGGAAGATCCTTCAGAAATTTCACTCAACAAGTGAAATCAAAAGAACAAACTGTTCAAAGCTCAGTAGGCCTAATTCCTCCCTTATGTATGAAACTACATTCACTCCAAAGATGAATTAAACCTGCTTGATATTAGCTTGGGACTTTCTTCTAGTCACCTGGTATCTTTGCTCATCTTGGGCTTTTTACTGTTAGTCCATAATGAAGAAAAAGTGTTTTTAATAATGGAAATTACCAATGTGAAGACCTTCTGTGACACAAAACATATAGCTAGTGCTCAAGGCAAGATATTTATTGCTCCTAAGCAATTTAAAGAGTTCATGGCTCAACATGTATCACTATAATGGGATATTAAAATATAGATATTTTCCAAACATTGCAGATCTCTGCAAGCATGTTGAATTTTTTCCAGGAATTCTGAATTTCCTGATGACTAGGCAAAGAATTCACCATGTGAAGATTTATTTCAGTTTCTGTGTTTAGATGTGAGTTCTGGATTTTTCTGCTGTAATAGAGACACTTGAGCTGATTTCTCTTTTGTTTTGTTCTGTTGGTGGGATCAGTAGTATTTCAGGTCCTTAGGAATGCCTTTTTTGACAGCCCTTTGAGGAAGCTCACTACTAAGGTTTGATGGAGTATTTTGATACATTTGAATCAATGTCAACTTCTTTGGTTTTTAATGGTTGGTTCAGATTATATTTTCTCTGCTCACAAGTAGTCCCATGGTATACAAATAATTCCCACTACCTTCAGAGGGAGTACATAAGATGTTTAAGATACTATTTGTTGTGATAAAGGGTGTTGCATTCTGGCTTTTTGTAAGTTACTCAAATATGCTTTGAAATCTGTTGGAACCATGAAAAACAGTAGTTTTGCTTGTAAATATAGGCTGAATTTTTATTGCAGTGTAGTTTTCTTGTGTTGCAGCCTAGACTGTGCTTGGTTCTGGATTTGATGATTCTGTAAGAAACCTTTCCCCAAGTTGCCAAGCAAAGTAAAACTGTTCAATCTGGATAAGTAAAATCCTTTGCATGCAGATGACTTGTGTTCACACTAGTGATATGCATCACCTTGTTTTGACAACCTGCTATCTGTCTTTGGTGGGTTTTGGGGACATAAAACTTTTTAAATAGGTGCATGCAGACTCTTAGATCTTATAAAGAACAGTATTTTCTGAACAGACTCCTTTTGACTGACATCCTAATAAATATATCTGTAGCCGGCATATTTTGCTTCTTCTCTTTCAGTGTGACTGCCTAAATTGACAAGAAAAACAGACTCTTAGTTAGGGATGTGAACAACTAGTCGATTAATCGTTTCCCTCCTTGCTGCCTCTATCAGAAAGAGGCAGCAAGGTGGGGGCAAAGAGAAGGGGATGCTTCAAAGCAGTATCATCTCATGGAGCCCGGGGCCAGCTGGGATTCCCAGACTGCGTGTGGCGTTTCAAAGCGGTGGCGCTGCATGGAGCCCGGGGTCCTGCTGACCCTGGGCTCCATACAGCATTGCTGCTTTGAAATGCTGCAGAGAGCATGGCGCTAGCGGGGGACTGCTTGAGTCCCCCACTGGCCCCTTCCTCCCTGCAGTGCTTTCACCTTTGAAGCCCCTGGGGCTGTTGCTATGCTTCAAAGGTGGAGGTACCTTTATCGACTAATCAAATAGTCGATGCAAGTTAATCTAAATTTAACATCTCTACTCTTAATATATAACTGAGGTTGGTGAAATCAGTTAGCTTTACAGTACAGATTGTACCACTTTATCCAGGACTCTCTGGTCCTGCAACATCTATGGTCTGGCAGGATCACAGATGATCCTGGACCACAGAGTCCAGATATAGGGCGGTTTGGCCACAGTGAGAAATGTAGCCACGGGGGCTGGCAACTCAGCCAGGAGCCCTGTGTTGGAGGGGGGAGCAGGCACTGCAGTGGGGCGATCTGGCCCTAGCAGCTGGGCAGTAGCAGGGGGCTCCCAGGAGGTAGCCAGGGAGCTATGATCTCAGCTGAGTAGCTCTCACCCCCGCTGCGCAGCAATGGCCCCAGTGGCAGCCAGGAAGCTCTGGCCCCAGATGTGCAGATCTGGTGGCGGAGCTCTGGCATCTGCCAGGGAGCTCTGACCCCAGCTGTGCGGCTCCGGCCTTGGTAGCACCGGGGCCAGTGGGAGCTGACGAGCTCCAGCCCAGGGAGTGATGGCTAACCAGGCAGCAGTAGGGCAGGCTAGAGCCCTAGTGTGTGTTTGTGGGGTACGTGTTAGTATGGGCCAGGAGGGGAGAGACCTCCCCTGGTCCAGCAGATCCCCTTGATTGGGACTGGTCAGGTCCCCAGGGTGCTGGACCAAGGGGGTCCAACCTGTATTAGCCTTAACTTGCTACTTTGGAAGAGCTTGTTTGGGCATTGTCATGTCTTTTAATGTGTCTGTGGTGTAGCCTTGGTGTAGTTTCCTTTTATATACCTGCTGGTGTATGTTCTAAATTCATTTCATTGAGTAATTCTAATTAAAATGGCAAGTAGTAGAATATACCTTGATATGACAGCTGATAGTTTGCTTAGTGGCTTGTCCACCCATATCCTTGTGAGGTGTGGACATATTTGATAAAAATATTTAATTTAGCGCTTCTTTCTTCAAAGTTCCTCAGTACTTTACGAGGAGGAGGTTGATCTTGTTGCTGATGCATGGGAATAGGAATTAAGATCTGAATTCTGTTCCCAGCTTTGCTCCAGACTTGCACTATAACCTTTGGCAAGCTACTTCACATCTTTACAGAATGGTCCAAATTTGTGTGCCTGCTTTCTCTGCCATGAAGATTGGTAGTAATGAAAAAATGAACACTGCGTGACTGGAATGTAAAGTATGATGATGATGATGATTATCCTTCACCCCATGTGAGTAGAATTTTGCAAAGGTGATTTGATTTTTCTCTGCACAGTTTCCTCATTTGTAAAATGGGCATAATAATCTTTCACACAGAAATGTTGTGAGGTACCCGGAGAGCCTCATATGGCAGATGCTGTGAAGCAAAAAGTATTTATTACATAAAATAAAAGATTAATCTTTTAACCTTGATTGTTTGCCT